ACTTTTCAATCCCCTTCTCTTGATTTCTTTGTTCTGCTTTGCTTCTCCCTCCTTATAAAAACTTCTGCCTGCACTGAGATGTTAAGATAGACTTTTGGACAAGAGTCCCCCATCTCCTCAGGTGACTGGCACTTGAAAACCTCTTTCCTTTTTCACCAGCACCTGTCTAATGAGTTTGGTTTTTGTGGTGGCAGGCAGCCAAACTTGGGTTCTGGTTACACATTATCCTTTCAAACACAAAAACACACACTCAGGAGAGTGTAAAGAGATCTTAGAAGTTTCTAACTTCTCTCCTGGTTATAAAAGACAAATGTTGGAATATGTGAGGAAATGAATTTACATATATATCTTGGATTTAACCACCATGTTATACTCTAAATTTATATTTTAGTAAAAGCATGATGCACACTTGTGCACTTAACATCTTCTGCATATTTTTATGGCACACGTATCCCCCAGAAACTTCAGAAAAATAGATAAGGGTTGGAGCACTACATATCATTTTAGTTAAAACAAAAACAACTTTAAAAAAATTTTTTTTAAAAATATATCTTTATTGATTTCAGAGAGGAAGAGAGAGGGAGAGAGAGCGACCAGAGAGAGAGGAAGGGAGAGGGAGAGAGAGAGAGAGAAACATCAATGATGAGAAAGTTGTCACTGCCCCTAACTGGGGATTGGGCCCAAAACCCTAGCATGTGCCCTGACCAGGAATCCAATCACGATCTCCTGGATCCTATGTTGATGCTCAACTGCTGAGCCACACCCAGCCAGGCTAAAAAATATTTTTATAACTTTGGTCTCATGAAGTTACCAAAAATCTCTTTTTTGCTTAAAAGAAAAAAACCTCACAGACAATATTCCTCATATTAGTGTACAAATCTACCACTTAAATCTTTTGTTTTTAAAAGACTTCTGAAAGACTTTCTAGAAGCAGCCCTAAACATTCTTTAGACAACTCTTCCAAATGCCACCATAGTAACTTGAAAGGAATTTTTCCCTAAAACATATTAGGAAAAGTCAGTCAGATGTTTGAGTCATACAGATTTTTAAGTTTCATTTTAACAACTTATTTCTTCATCCTATTTAGTTGACAATCTCTGAAGAAATATTACACTTATTAATGCTTAACTATTAGGGATTGTGGGAGGAAGGAACTTGATTTACTACTAAATCAGAACATAATTCCTATGTTAAGTGAAAAGAGCACTTAAGGATTTCACCCTGTTGTTGGCAGAAACGGGGCTTGTGGGAGCCCAGAGTGGGGATTTAGGGTGCCAGCCACGAGATAAGGATCCTGAAGCTACATATTAGTCAGAGTCAGTATTTACAGAAATAATGTAAAAAGTAAAATGATGAGTTAGCCAAGGTTCACAGCAAATTAAGTGGCAGAACTGTGATTAGAACTCTGGTGTCCTGCCTCCCAGATTTCTGGTCAGGATTGTTACAATGAGTCTGCTGAAGCAAACCCCCAGTGAATTCTTAAAGCAAATCACTGGATGACCAGTGGTACTAAAATTAAATTCTGGGCTAGATTATTGAGGGGTCCTGGCTTGCTTGGATGGTACATGAATATAGCCTTGGAGAGAACGGAAGAATATGTAAATGGACAATTGAAGAAAAATATGGGGATGCATTTATCCCAGGAAACAATGTATTGTACATAAGCACACGGAAGAGAAGGCTGTGAAGGCATCAAGTGTACAGTAGTTTTCAGGCTTGGATGTAATTTTTTATGAGATCTTTTTGATGTTTGTTTTTTTTTAATATAAACTTGTCATATTTCATACTAGCTGGTGATTTTTCACTGCTATGTAAGATAAATGTATAGAGCTGTGGATTTAATTGTAAAGAATTCTTTCATATTTAAGTTTTAGTCATTTTATTTTACCTCTGTGTCAGGGTGCAGAATGCAAAAAGAAATTTTAAAAGAGAAAAAAGAGCACTTAAACACAAAACACCTCGAAAGTGTGAATACCTTTCTCTTGATTTCCTTTTTCCTTTTAAATAACCCCACTCAGCTCTGGTCAGGTAGCTCAGCTGGTTAAAGCATAGTTTGGATACACCAAGGTTGCGGGTTCTATCCCTGGTCAGGACACATGGGAGAATCAACCAACGAATGCATAAATAGATGGAACAACAAACCGATGCTTCTCTCTCTCAAACCAATCAATAAAAAATTAAATAAATAACCCATTCCTTCACCTGCAATGTATTTTCCGACTCCTCCCTGTTAGGTTTCCGTTACATTCGATACCACAATTTTGTCTTATTAGCCACTTACATCACTCGAAAAACAATTCCTTCCATCGTTCATAATAAGCCCATTCTTATCATTTCCTCTCACACACAATTATTTCTTTAAAAATGAAAACAAGCCCAGCCGGGTGTGGCTCAGCGGTTGAGCATCGACCTAGGATCCAGGAGGTCGGGGTTTGATTCCTGGTCAAGGCACATGCCCGGGTTGTGGGCTCGATAAATGACTCTCTCATCATTGATGTTTCTATCTCTCTCTCTCCCCCTCCTTTCCTCTCTCTGAAATCAATAAAGATATGTTTAAAAAAAAAA